GAAAAAGAGAGAGAGAGAAAGAAAGAAAAAACATGAAAGAAGAAGAAGGAAAAGGTAGAGAAACTAAAGGAGACATGGATGGATTGTCACCTCTCAGTAATTTTTTAGATAATTTAAGGTACCCCAAAGTATATTTAAAAAAATAATGAGACCTGATAGTTCTTATCAAGAAATAGAGGGTACCCCAAAGCAATTTTTTGGCGTTTGAAATGTATGTGTATTTTTCAATCATTTGTAAGTGCCGTTTAATTATACTCCGTATTAATTATGAAATCTTTCCCTTCCATTAATTATATTAATTATAAAATTTTTCCCTTTCATTATACTAGTTCCCTCCTCCGTCTAAATAAAATCTCAATTTTTTTTCATTTCATTGCTTGAACCAGTGTCACGCACCGGATGAAAATGATTTTTTTATTCTGTAATATTTTCATTTTTTCACTATAGTCTTACTAAATGATTGAACAAAATATATTTCTAATATGTTCTATATTAATGAATGATACTTCATTCTATCCTTAAGTATTAATCCAATTATATATGTAGACACACATATATTATATATTAATTAGAAAAATAATGTTTTGAAAACATTCTATATATAATAAATCTAATTACATTGTTCTATATCATTATCTAATATTATATATATTTAATTTTATGTCAAATTTTACAAATTTTGATCGAAAAATTTAAAAGTGAACAAATATTCAAAGGCGGGTTGGGAGAGTACATTGAAGAGATAAACTATAAGTATCAAATCATAATAAATCATTAAAAATAAAGTAAATTTAATCACAAATATCTAACTACAAATCATATAAGTTGTCGAGTTATTAAATCAAACCATAAAATCTATTGTATTTCTTTCCTTCTTGATTATGTCTAGTTTTGACCTTTTGCACTTTAAATTGATGAGCTTTAACCATAAATTAAATAAAATTGGTATTAGATATTGATGCAAAAATAATTTTATTAAATTTGTTTTATATATTATTTGAGTAAAAGAATGTTATTCCGAACCATTCCATACGTGACAATCAATTTTAAATTTTTGTATCTCAATCTCGTCATGTTTAAAATCATTTCTAGTTTGTGTAGAGAAAAAAATTAATCTCGTTCAAAACATGATAATCACTTTTGTATCATTACGGTCCATTATGATATCAAGTTTGGTTTTTCTTTTGCTCACACATACTGTTGTTCATTACAAAAAAATCACAAAATGAACACTTCAAGTAACACATCACAATTCAAAGTATTACACAAAGTAAAGGAATTAGATTAATTCTAATAAGTTGCATAATCAACAACAACAATATTGTCAAAAAAAGAATTTCACATATGTCAAGTGTTCAACAAAATTTTCAAGAAAAAATTTCAAATGAAATGAAAAATTTCACATATCTAAATCAAATGTTCATGATCTCAAACTAAATGACAAGAAATATTTTTAACCAAATGTATCAACTTAAAGTAAATAAAAAAACAGTAGGCAGCGGAAAATTTGGGAAGTTTTTTATCAAAATTCCCTGAAAACGTTTCGTATTTGGTGGACTACCTGGTAATGGTGAATTGGCGGAAATGTCCAAGCATGTAAAAGAGACGCGCTTCTTAAAAAATGAAAAACAAGGCCATTTAACGGAGTGTACACGCTGTTTCAAGTTTAAATTAAAAAAAAATCAAGAATGATGAAACGACGTCGGAAGAGTTTACACAAAAATCCTCCCAAAACATATCTTTCTTCATCGTGCGACCTTTGAGTTTTCAATCTCTCTCCCAACTCTTCGACATCTCCAAGAGTTGAAAGAAACACGCTCTACCTAAAGTCCTAGATCTCAAAAATAGTTTGATTTCTACAATGAGGACGAAGAATGCTTCTATGTCGTACTCCAATATTGAAAGCGATGGGAATCATGCAGAAAAGACATCGGCACAACACATCGAAACCCCAAAGTTCACTCAAGGAAATCTCTAGGTCAGAAATTTGATAATAAACTAGTTATTGTATCTCAAATTCATTCACTAAATATAGTCAATGAATGTAACGCCCCGAAATCTTCTAAAAGAATTAATTAAATTGTTAGAGCAATTGATTACGAATTGGGCCCAAAAAGGGGTTAAAATTATAATTTGGATTTTAAGCCCAACTTTTATGTCATCTCGTAGGAAATATTTTTGTGATCGCGTCGGTTCAGACGGCTCGCGAATCGGAGTTATGGAGCTCAAGTTATAACCATTTAATCAGGTATTTTGGGTCCGAAGCCCAATCCTTTTTGGAATGGGACCATTAAATAAACCTAAACTAATTTCATCCGTAGAAACCTTATCCTTCGTTCGTTCTTCTTCTTTTCTCCTCCTTCTTCTTCGTTTTTCTTTTTCTTCTTTCTTCTTCGATCCTTCTTCTTCTTTCTTCTTCGTCGACCTTCCCCAGCCTCGCCGCCATCATCGCCGACTGGTGCAGCGCCGCCGTGAGCCAGCCGCCGGTCGTCGCCATCCAATTGCAGCAGCCAACCGCCGGTCATCCCTGCCGTTCGACCACGCCGGCGTCGCGCAAGCCAGAGCCCCCGTCGCTCACTGCCAGGTCCAGCCGCCGTCACCGAGCTTCCAGCTGTTGTTTCACCTTCGCCGGTCGTCCGCCGCCAGTCGTTGCCCAGCGCCGCCGTCGATGGTTCACCTCGTCGTTCTGCCGGACGTCGCCTCCACTGCCGGCGTCCTTCCCCGCCGTCGATTGCAGCGCCGCCAGTCGCTGCTCATCGTCGTCGAGCTGCCGCTACGCCACTATCGCCGGCGTCCGTCGCCGCATCCAGCCGCTACCCCGAGTTGATATCGCCGGCGGATTAATCTCCACGCCGGATTGATTGGTTGATTTCGTACTTTGACTCGATTTGACCCGTTCGGTTGATTTCGTTGATTTGTCTTCCGTTCGAGCTATCGATTCGATTTTGACGTAATCTAGGTCCGTACTATGAAGTTAATATCATTTAGAATAGATTTAATGGTTTAGATCGTTATATGTGTTTATGCTATAATTTGGCTAAATTGGCTAATTGAATTAAATTGATTGTTTGAATTGAATTGTTGAGGATTGTGAATTGACTGAACAGGTTTGACTTTGACTTGGGTTAGGTCATGTTTGACTTGGACTTTGACTGGATATTCTGTTGTCGTAGGTTTGACCGGATGGTTAAATCCAAAACTTTAATGAATTAGTTAAGTTAATTAATTAATTCTAATTGGTGATTAAGGTCAATTGGTTTATTGTGTTGAACATAGAAACTGGTCATCGCTCGGGCGGCTGCAGGGCCTGGTCAGTGAGGTTAAGACAAGCGCACGAGGGTCTGCGATCTTGGGTTTGAGGCCATCGCCCGAGGGATCCTACCTCCATCGAATTGAGGCCATCTTCGGCATTACGGATTGAGGCTATCTCCGTCATAGGCATTAAATGTTAAGTGGTTTGACTTTGGTGAAAGTCTAAATTGGTTTGACCGGTGGTCAATGAGTTCATGAGAAACCCGCAACACCTAAATCGTTTTGAAAAGAAAGAAAATAAGTTGACTGTTGGTCAACCGTCTAAAGAACCGAACGTAAAGTTGAATTGAATTTTATTAAAAGGATAAACATATGCACGATCTTAATTGTTGAATTATTATGTTTATTCTTGTGCTACAATGGAGTACCACTCAGCGTCAATGCTGAGCGGATAGCGTTGTTTTCCTTTTTGCTGTCCGTAGGTGAACAGACAGATGAACCTAGAGCCGATCCCAGAGGGCATTGAGGAGGAGATGTACGATGGCGTGGATGTCTCTTAAATCTGCTGATATGCTTTATTTAATTAACTTTAATGCTTATTACGTTTTCGGGCAAGATCCCAAGTTGTTTGACTTTAAAAAGGCTTCCGCATTATTTTAAATTACTCCGATGGATTTTTATATGTATTGAAAGAACGTTTGTTTAAAATTGTTCTAAAAATGTCGCAAATTCGGATACCAATTCAGTGGCACACCGGTCCGCTGTCTCACGGGTTTGGGTCATGCGGGTTGGGGTGTTACAATGAATGAATAGGATGGTCGACTAAAACATGTTTAGTCGACTAACAAAAAGGTTGACCTTTGTCGATATTAGTCCGAGTTATTTTGATGTTGTTTCTATTTATCAGGAAGTTTTAGAGGAAGAAAAAATAGATGCTAGTCCACTGAATAAAAGGTCGACTTGTATTTGTCGATTTTTTTTAAACCTTTTTGTTAAGCATCATGTTCCAATGATCAGGAAGCCGAAGAATGTTTTGAGAGGGAGGATGAGATAATGGAAATGAGTAATAAAATTGTCCATAATGATGTGGAGTACCGCAAATCAACTTTAGACAATGTTGATGAGGTAATAAGATCATATTTTAATATTATTTATTATGAGCCTTCTTAATATGTATTCTTTAAATATTATGAGTAGAACACCAAGTTCAGTGATGAAGACTTCAGAGAACTGATATATGAGCGTGAAGTTGTTGCTGTAGAGGTATGTAATAGGTTAAGTTTTATTGAATTTATTTATCCTTGGAATCTTACTTTTAACATCCAGGATTTGGGTTGAGGGCGACGGGAGAAGAAACGAAGTATTATATTGAAGACCCCCTACACTGGCCTGGCCATGTTTATAAAAAGAGAAAGAGGACAAATGATTCAAGGCTTAACAAGCTGGAGTAAGTGGAACAAGCGCACCTCAACAAACAAAGCAACCCTTCCAGCCAATAACTTGAGGCCTTCCATAATTTCCTACAGTCGGCAATTTCTTATGGAAGAGAAATACAATGTATGAAGGCCAAGAGAGCAGAGTCCTATGGGATTTTAAAGAAGTGGTGAAGTGCATTGATCAAGGCTGGAGGCTGGTTGGAGACCTCAGTAATTCAAGTATATATTACTACTATTCGTTAACATATTTGTAAATAGAGTAACATATTGCCTTTTTATTTTATTCACAACACATGGAAGAAATTACATGCTATCTGATGCAAATGTATAACAAGAGAGATAACAAATTTTCCGTCCTCCCAGAGTGCTTCCAAACGTTATTTAAGAACAATGCCACTCCTAAATCATTTCCATTGCTAGGCGATGACATAAGAGACATCGTTGAGGGAACTTCTGTTTAGTTCTCATACGCTAAGGCATGAAAAGACATTCACAATGTTTATTGGATTCAAAACATAACCAATCATTAGGTGGCCATAAGAGCTGAATTTGAAACAAAGTGTTTGGTTGTGTTTGACTCTGATCCCTCCAACGATATACAAGGAGCAGTGATCAAACACAAGACTAGCACCCATGCTCAAAATGATTCCAGTGATTTGCAATTACGCGTCAACCTACATAACAGGGATTCTTGGGGATCATTAGATATTTCCGCAGAATGGAGAGTTGAACGGCCTTAAGTGCCACAACAGACAAATTAAGACTATGGTTTATTTGCATTGAAGTTAGCTTGGTGTTCAAAATTTGAATCCTTCAATACTACAAGGATTTGGCGAAGATGACGTTGTCCAATTGCGAACTGCATACGCATATGCAATATGTACAAAGGACTTATAAAGAGTTGCTTAACATAAGATTACCAAGTATTTGTTTTCAATAGTAAAGGTCGACTTAACTTAAGTAATATACTCTATTTTGACACATTTCGCATATCTTCGATTTTTACTAAATCTTTAGAATATTGTGTGGAGTATTAAATGATTAGAAACAAATACATGTCTGGACTTGTGTTAGTTAGTCAACCTGTCCACTTGGGTTAATTAGAAACAGCACCCTGTCGTAATTGAAACAACAATATGTCGACTTGTGTTCATCAGTCAACATGTAGACTTGTGTTAATTAGAAACAGCCACCTGCCGGATTTTAAACAGCAATGTGTAAACTTTTGCTAATTAGCAACCTGTCAATTATATATTCATGTGTTGAAATGGTCATTTGTTTTCAATAGTAATTGAGGTCGAGTTAAGTAATATACTCCGTTCAAACAGGAATAATCCGCATCCGTTTTAAACGGATATTATCAGTATCCGATCCGTTTAAAATCCGATCCGAATATACATCCGTTTAGATAACCGTTTATTCGAATATCCGTTTATCCAAATATCGAATTCATTTTTTTAATATTTATAATAATTTATCCAACCCATTATAAATTGACAATTAGCTCATTACTTCCACAAAGTACTTGGTCGATTATGAATTTGTATTTTTGTTTGAATCATTTTTTGGTTAAGTATTTATTATTTATACAGTAGTTTTTTACGTATTTGACGTTGTTCAGTATTGTAGATTTCATCATTCACTTTCTCACTTTCAACATTCACTTTCTCACTTTCTCACTTTAATTATAAATAATACGAGGTTTATTTTAAAAAAATACAAAACATTATAGTTAGATGTAGATTTTATGTGTGTGTGTGTGTGTGTGTGTGTGTGTGTATTAGAACACATGTATTAAGAAATAAATGTATACTTCAACTCAAGTACTCCATTGACTAAAATGATCTTGTTAAAATTAAAAGATGGCAAAGATTTTACTGCATTGACGAATGTTAATGCCGGGAATGTTAATGCATTGACAAAGATTGCTGAGTACATTATATGCTTCATTCTTTATTTATTGTTTATTAGGTAGTATAATTTTCACAATTAATTAAAAAATGACATAACGTAGATATAAAGCATGTTCTTATCCTTCATTTTTCAAAATCATGGAAGTCATACTATGGAGTAATAAATAGTTACTTTGTAATAAAGAATAGAGGCCATAGAACGAAGAAGTAGAGTATTAAAATGTAGAGTAAATTTCCAAAATAGTCCTTTGTAATAAGGTGTGTTCCCAAATTAGTCCTCAATAAGTTTTAATTACATGTGTGGTTTTCTATAATTAATATTTATTCCCAAAATAGTCCTTCATAAACAATGTTACTCAAATGATGATTAATTAAGGGTATTTTGGTATTTTTTATCCTCTAAATTTAGAATTAATTTTTAAAATGATCATTTATAATGAAGTGCTTTCCCAAAATGGTTTTTTCTAATTAAATATGTGTATATGATTTGAAATTTAAAAGATTTTTTATAAGTTTTAAATAATTCATGAATTATTTATAGTCAATGCATTTTTTAAATTTTACATTTAGTTGTGCAGAAATGATTGTTTTGAGAAAAAACTTAAAACTTGGATGATCAAAATTCCAAAATATCTCCCAAAGAATCATCATTTGAGTAATATTATTTACGAAGGACTATCTTGGGAATAAATCTCAATTATAGAAGACCACGTAGGTAATTAAAAATTATTATGGACTGAATTGGGAAAACACCTTTTACAAAGGACCATTTTGGAAGTTTACTCTAAATTGTAATCTTTTACGTTATGTTTGATTCGTGAAATTTGAAAAGATTGAAAAAATATATATTTTTCTTTCATTTTTTTTCACCAAAATAGAAGAAAATCTATTTTCATTCTTTTTAGTTCATATCTTCTTTCATTTTCTTTTGTTTCTATATATTTTTCTTTTCTTTTTTATTTCCTTTTATCTTCTCTTTCAAATTAGCCAAATATAATGTTAGAATTCTGGTTGCCCGAAAATGTTAATGCATTGACAATTGTGTTAGGATAATAGACCTAAATAGGACTAAAACATAATATTTTTTTTAAAATAGGATCATATGTTTTTATTTCTAATGTAAGACTATTGGTCATTATGTATTAGTCATTATTCAACTAATGCGAAAGCAATTGCATAGTTAGTTTCCTTCGAATTTGGCGGAAAGAGCCTGTTTTTTAGAACTTGAACTCTTAACTTCCAGTTCTTTCCAATTGTTTGCAGTTTCTTCCAGTTTCCTCCAGTTTCTTCCAGTTCCTTTCAACTTTTCTCATTTTCTTCAAATTTTTTCTACTCCTCAACCAATTACTCTAAAAATGATATATTTCAATGTGATTATTATTACAACTGTTATATTCATAACTATAGTTTATAAATTATTTTTTTCATCTCACTATTTATACGATTCACACTTATTATTTTTTTCTTCAACTTTTTAATTTGAATAAGACATTTTTTTGTATATTAGTCTACATGATAAAACATGAAAACATCAATATGTTAAATTATACTAAAAAATTATGGATAAAATAGTTACATTGAATGTTTTATTAATATAACTTTTTATAAGACATCTCAGTTTTCCCTTTATTACTTAAAAATTGCTTATTTTTCTAATTTTTATAAAAAATTGTAAGTCAAAACAGTTTAGAGAAAAAGACTAAAATATAAGTAAAACATAAAAAATATAAACAAAAAAGTTATGTCTTTATTCCAAAAATAGGAATTCAATGAAAATAAAATGTCAATCATGAAAGAAACAATAAGTTTGATTATATAACATGTATGATATTTAAAATAAAATGTTTTAATATATAAATTATAATTACAAATATATTATTTATAATAAATACTGCATAAATAAATTGAGGTGCAATAAAACTACACAACCTTTTTAAAATTTAATATTTTTATATTTATGCTAACTTTATATTATAATTATTTTTTTGTAAAAGTAGTTTTTTGTATTTAAAAATAACAATACTTTTTTTATATCTTAAAGACATTCACTAAGATAACATGATGATGATTATGATGATGATGATGATGATGATGATGATGAT